TGGGGGTTACAGCCAAGGAGCAGTGTGGGGTTGGTGGATGGGAAGTTATTAAGAGGTGACGTCAGGGGGTGGAGGGTTCTGGCTGAACACAGGCCAGGGTGGTCAGACAGCCCCTGGGGTGCGGCGAGGGATGAGGAACCCGATCACATGCCGAGGGGGACCGCTGACAGAGGATGGGGAGCCCTGGCTGAACGTATTCGGCAGGGTTCTTGGGCAATTGGGCACCCGAGGACAGGGCCCACTGGGAAAGTGGCTCAGAGGAGCCTGCCTAGAGTTTGATCAGGGAGAGAGTCTTTGTCAAAAGGCTAACCTCAAACATGGCTCATGTCCTTATCTATTTACTTACTTGTCTGCCTCCTGCAGAAAATAGCACACCTAGGGAAATTACCCCTTTCTTTCTGAAATGTATGGGGGTAAAAACAAAAGATTTGATGCTGTTTTCATTCGATGCACAATTAGGTCATGGGATCAATGCAGATGCATTTGACCGAACATCCACGGCCACCCTGTCCCAGCACTTGGGGTGCAGTGATGAGTAAGAACAGCCCCAACTGTGTCCCTACAATGGGGCGCTCGCGCCGTCTGCCAACGTGGAGCACTCTCCAAGACGCCTTGACCGGGAAAACAGTTGCAGAAGAGGGTGTTAAACACATGGGCACATGCGAGCAAAGTGTTTCTGGCAGGTTACATACGCCAAAGCCTGGTACCAGTTTGTGCCTGGCTGCAGGAAGCAAGAAGTTGGGGACCAGGGATGGGAAGAAAGGCATACTAGTTTTGCGTAGTCATTTTTCAGTATATAAGTGATAAAAAGAAAAAAGAAGTGGTCTCTTGCCGGGGTGGGGACACCAGTTTGTAAAGGCTCAGTCTCACTCTGCTGACCAACATTGCCAGGGGCCTGAGGTTGCTGGGTTTCCCTTCAGGTGGTTTTTTTGCCTTTCTTTTACCTCGTGGTAGTTATTTATTGAACCTTTTAATGGGGAAGATTTCAAGGCATTTTAACCACCTGGTTTTACTGAATGAAATAAAAACATCAAAGCAGACATTTATATTGGGGGTAATTTAATATTTATATGCTGTTGACTTTATAGCCTGGATTACAAATAATTACAGAGCCTGTGTTTATGGTGCATTCGAAATATGACAATCAACTCAAAGAGTGGTTGCTGCCGTGGACACTATACTGTAATTTAATTCCTTGGAAATAACTTCTCTGAATTTCTTGTTAATTCAGGGTTCCTAGTTAATGCATTGTGTAATGGTCACTTCATTTCTTAGACTATCATGAACTGCAAGCTATTTTTAATAGTTTAAAAATAATAGTAAGCTGGTTTTCTAGTATTATCTCTTTGAAAATGGCAAAGACTTTAGAGAAAATATACTTCAAATGCAACCTCCCTGAATAAGCAATGTCTATGAACGTTCCCGGGAGAGTGTTTGGTGTGTGCTCAGTGGGTCTGGGAATTTTGTCAATAGTGTTGGATGCAAAGCTCTATCTCAGCCCCCCACCTAAACCCCCCCTGTCGAACGTCACTGTTGCCGCCACTGAAACATACCAAGTCTAAGCAGAATTAGTGAGTTAATATCCAGATAACGGAGGCAAAGCAAGGCACATTTGGCACCTGGTTTTGTTTTCTTTCTAAACATGACTTGGTCCGGTCTACGAGTAGAATGGACCAAAACCAACCAAGCAAAAAAACACTTGTCATGAAATGCTCATTCCACAAAACATAATGGCATGTAAATGACATAGAATGGCATATGGCAAGAACGCCTGGTCAAAACGTTCCCTCTGTGCGGTAGGGACTCTGCAGTACAGTCAGGAATCAAAAAATAAGCACAAGGACCTCCCCCATGCGAAATTATGCGTTCTTTCTCAAGAGAGAGGAAACCTTCCAAACTCCTGTTTAGATTTCTCTTAAGTTCGTTTCTGCTTGGACCACTTGGTTTCTCGGCGGAGAGAGGGAGGGAGTCGCTGCAGACAGGCAGAGTCGGCTGGGCGCGTGGCAGCTGCCTGCCAGCCCCGGGAATTCCCACGGTGGCCCTGGCGTCGCAGCGCAGTGAGCGTGCAGGTTAAATCATACTTTGTGTGATGTTCAAAATTTTTTTTAACTAAAAGAAGAATTTGTGACTTATTTTGGAAAGATTTTTATTCAACAAAAATGTTTTACATGCAAGGCAGTCTTTTTCAAGTAAGCTAGAAGGAGTCCGGGTCTGAAGAACCCCTTGTTTCCCAAAGACGCTTTATTAGGCTTGAATCAGGAAAGTTGGCTTGTTGGGTGGTAGAAAATCTGAAATAATAATATCCATAGGTATAATTTACGTAATGAATGCTCACTCTGTGCTTGATTTAGAGTTTGGAGGCTTTATATGTTTTTTCCCTTTATTCCTCACAACAACCCTGTAGGTCAGGTATTATCTCACGGATGACGAGACTGAGGGTCAGAGAGTTCCCAGAATAACTTGGCCAGCAAGTGGCAGAGTTGACATTCAGACTCCTGTGTCTTTGGATCTAATGTGGGAAGGTACACACTTTTTCTCCTGTGTCAACCTGGCTTGAAAAACAGAATCCATACAACATATACTCCCAGTTAATGCACCTCTTTTCTCTTGTGTTTTCCTTCCTCTTTGTTTTCCGTTCTACTTTCTTCCTTTTTTTCTTTTCTTCTTCGTCATGTTTTAACTTGTACATGAGACTCACACAGTCTCAAGCTGCCTGGATCAAAGCATGATTCTGAAACACTGTGCTCTTGCATGAACCTTTGACGCGGGGATGCTAGGCGTGCGAACAATGCGGTGCCCACCCCCAGAATGTCACGTGCACTGCGCTTTGATCCCAGGAGACTCCGGGAGTGGGCGGCTCTCTTCCGTGCTTGCAGAGAGCCTTTCGCATGCACACGGCCACTAACGTGCTCAGCAAAAGCACAGCTGTTCCAGCGCAGAGCCAGAGTAACAGGGACCTCCCCACAAAGACCTAGCACATGTGCAAAGAAGTTCTTTCTGAATGTGTGTTTGGATCGTTTTCCTGATCACAAGAGTAACAGATGCTTTTGCAAACATTAAATTACTTACTGCAGAATTATAAAAATTGAACACCTCCTCGTAATTCTACTAACCTCCCCTTCCCCCAAAAGAGATGATCTCTGTTAACAATTTCAAAGAAACTCTCATTTGTGAATCAGTTCTTTAAATCAAATGCTTCTCTCTCTCTCTCTCTCTCTCTCTCTCTCTCTCACTCTCTCTCTCTCCTGTCTGTGCATTTGGTTTAGAATATTGTGTAGCTCAAGCACTCAGGATTAAGAAGGAGGTTGACCTTGCACTTTTTTTCTCCCTAACTCTTTGTTGTGCGTGTTCAAGATGTACATTTGAAAGACAGGCAGAATAATTGAGAGGAGTAAAGAAGGTATTGCTCATCCAAACTGTGAATGAGTTAATTAGTAAGAAAATCTAGATTGAAGGGATCGCTTAGAATCTTTTATTGAGTAGTTTATTGAGGACAGGCAGTACTATCCTTTGGGTTGGTTTTGATTTAATTTTTCACCAGTAAGTACTGCTTTGTTGATTTTGTATATAAATATGGATGAAGAAATTAAAATATATAAATTATATAGAAACTGGGGATTTTGAACTAGCTGGAACTTGCATTCCAGCATTCAGGGTTTACAAATGAAGAAATTTGAGGCTCTAAGAGATTTATTCTGAGCCCTCTTCCCTCTGCAACATCTAGCCTGCTTTTGTGGGTTCACTCAGCCTGCTGCCTACATGGGCACCCCTCTTGCTCTCTTAAGCTGCTGTTTTGTGGTTTTTTTTAAATGACCAGTGTTCTATAGAAGCCATCACAAAGTACAGATAACCAGTGTTAACATGTAAGTATAGAATCTTTCAGACATCTTCCTATGGATATGTAATGTATACGTAAGAAGTACCTGACAGGCTGTATAGTATAGTGGTTATGAAGTCTGACTCTGGGATTAGACTGTGTGGGTTCAAATCCTGGTTCTAACACTACATCTGTTTGGATTATTGAGATAATGTGTGTAAAGTTCTTGGTATAAGCTGGGCAGGGTGGCACATGCCTGTGGCCCCAGCTACTTGGGAGGCTGAGGTGGGAGGATCACTGGAGCCCAGAGTTCAAGACCAACTTGGATAATGTAGCAAGATTGTGTCTCTGAAAAAAAAAAATAAATAAATAAGGTTCCCACTTAGAGACAGCACCCAATAAATGTTGGTACTTACTATGAATGCTTTTGAAGGCAAGGAAATTAGACTTCTAATTCTGTGTTATAATTTATTTTTTAATAAAAATAAATTGGCCTACATGATCACATACATCTAGGTCAAAAAGCCATCTGTCTCTCCCATCCTTGAAGAACAGTACCGTTCTGATGTCCAAATCTAGAGAAGTGTGAGGCCTTTGGTACCGTAGAGTTTGTCTCAACAACAAGTTTGCTTCCTTGTAATATGTAGGACTCTTTCTTCTCTTGGGACATACCAAATTGGCAAACATTTCAAGGAGCTCTCTGTTGGATAGATTTGTAGGCTCGAAAGCCTGTGCATTTCTTATGCAGTCATCCTCGTTTTCAAAAACATCACCCCTGATATCAAAGTATTTATTTCCTGCCTTGAAAAGTGAATAAGTGCCTGAACGTTGCACTGGCTTTAGCTCCCGAGCATTCACACGACTGGCTTAATTGGAGAAGAAGAAAGTGCCATAATTCTGCCATACGCTGACAATAATGTAGCAGTGGGAGCCCGAGAGACCCTTTATTATTCCCATGCTCATGGCTTCTTGAATAAAGTGGATGACCAAGTATACTTATCGTAGTAAGAGAGATTATTAGCAGTGGAAGACGCATTTGAGCTCGCTGAAAGAGCTGCCTTTGTGTCTAGGAAAGCCGACACTCGGTAATTATCAGACCCGGCCTTTGTTTCATCCCAGCGGTCTTTCCTTTTTCACGCTTGCAAGGTCTGAATAGCTTTCTATTGCCCGTTAATCCCCACAGGAATGTGGCTTCGGCTACGGGGAGGATGCACAGTGCGTGACATGCCGGCCGCACAGGTTCAAGGAAGACTGGGGCTTCCAGAAATGCAAGCCGTGCCTGGACTGCGCGCTGGTGAACCGCTTTCAGAAGGCAAACTGTTCAGCCACCAGCGATGCCACCTGTGGGGACTGCTTGCCAGGGTGAGTAGGGTGGTTTCTTTCCCTACTAAGGATTGAATTAACTTTTAGGAGGGCATTTCTTTCCTGTTCCCTTCCCAACTCGAATGCACACCGGTGCTACCCTGAAGACATCTGTGTTCTGGACTTCTTGTCCCGACACTCCACACTGGATTCTCTGTGCCGGCCATGTGCCACGCACTGCGGCAGGCGCTGGTCACAAGCCAGGTGGGCAGGCTTACTGACCAATCGTGAGTGTCTTGGAGATCTAAAGAATTCCTACAAATCAATAAAAAGGAAAACTTGGGCAAGCGGACAAAAAAGCGAACAGGCAACTCACAGAAGCGTAAGCGTGCAGGGCAGCGGCAGTCATAGGAGGAGGTTCACAGGAGGACTGCAGGGAAATGCAAGTCACCACCACTCAGCCGTCTCGGCGGATGTCTGCCCAGCAGCCAGCAGGCCTTGCTTTTAGGTATTTGGGCTATATCAGAGAATAAAGTGTCACAGATCCCTGCCCACATAGAGCTTATATCCTTATAGAGTTCTAAAAAAAATCTAAGTAGTAAATGACGAAGAAGTGAGTTGTGCAGAGAGATGGAAGATGATAATTGCTATGGACAAAAGAAACCCTAAAGTAGACAAGGGCGCATTGGCATGGCCACGTGGGGGATGGGTGGCCAAGTTACAGTATTAACTGGGGAATCAGGACAGGCTTTACCGCAAAGGTGAGAGGTGAGCAAAGACTTGAAGGAGAGGAGGCCCCTAGCCAAGCAGCTATGTGGGGAAGAACGCTGTGGGCAGAGGGAAGCTCTAGGGGGGAGGCCCTAAGGTGGGCATGATCCTGGTGTGTGTGAGAAGTTGCCAAGAGGTGGAGGGAGGGACAGGAGGAGAGAGGGGTGGCGTAGAGGAGAGGCAATGAGGGGAGGGGACGGGGCGGGCAGGCAGGTGTGAACCAGAAAACCTCAATGAACACATTGAAGAGGCGGCCAGGCCATGGAGAGGAGGGGGCTACACTGGACTAGGTGGAGCGCCAAGCCTGGGAGAAGGAATTCTAAAGTTGTGAGTGCTTCTCAGTAACCACTGGATGGATATGCCAGATAAGACAGACAGTTGAAGATGGAGTCTGGAAGACTAGATTCGGGGCAAGGGTGGTGGTCTGTAAGGCAGGGACGAGGCATTGTTCTGCTAGGTGAGCAGGGAGCAAGACAAAGCAGAATGGTAGATAAATTAGTGGGGACTGAGTGCAGCTAGTGTTACTGACCACAGACAGAAGAGAGAGAGGAACCAGGATTCCTGGAGCTGCAAAACCAGGCGTTTCTGCAAAGGTATGAAACAGCAGCATTACAGGAGCAGCAAACATTTATTATTTATGATGTACCAGGCACTGGGCTAAGTACTTTTCATGAATCATTTTCTATAATTTTCACAATGTTGTGCAAATGAAGAAACTGAGCTTATCAAGCTTTAAGGTTATCATACAAGATCGCATATCCCATGTGTGGTGGAGCTGGGAGTCACAGCCAGGGAGTCCAACATCAGAAACCATGCTCCAAGGCGCTACAGACAGAAGACTCTAACTGGACTTGACCACAAGATCAGGATGGTTTTGATTTGATGCATGCCTGGGGTGGGGGGTTATCTTCTTGATGCCAGAGACAGAGATAAAGCTTTGGGTGTGAAGGGCAGAAACAAGGTAGGAAATAGCCTGGCGAGTCAAGCATGACCTTGGACAGAGACCCAACACCTAAGGAGCCACAAAAAGTAGTGGTCTAACACCAAAAAGCACAAGCAACAAAAGAAAAAAAATATCCTGTTGGACTTTATCAAAATTTAAAACATTTATGCTTCAAAGGACACCTTTGAGAAAGTAAATGGATAACCTACAGAATGGGAGAAAAATATTGGCAAATCATATATCTGGTAAGGGACTATCTTATCTAGAATATGTGAAGAGCTCTTACAACTCAGTAATAAAAAGACAAATAATCCAATTAAAGGACAAAGAGTTTGAATAGACATATCTCCAAAGATGATATACAAATGACCAATAAACACATGAAAAGATGCTCAACATCATTAATAATCAGGGGAATGCAAATCAAAGCCACATACTTTGTCCCCCAAAAGACAGACAATAACAAGTGTTGGTGAGGACAGGGAGAAATTGGAACCTTCGTACACTGTTGGTGACAATGTAAAAGGGTGCAGTCTAACATTTCTTCACAAAGGTAAACATGGAGTTACCATGTGACCTAACAGTTCTACTGGCATATAGCCGAGAGAATTAAAAGCCTATGTCCACACAAAAACTTGTACACTCGTGTTCATAGCACTATTATACACAATAGCCAAAAAGCTGTGGTTTGAAAGTATCCCCTCCAAAATCCAGATGTTGCCAATGTGATAGTGTTAAGAGGTGGTGTCTTAAAAGTGGATTAGGTTGTGATGGTTCCTCCCTTCATGAAGGTGCCCTTATTAAGGGGCTTGACAGAAGGAGTTTGTCCCTTTTTTGCCCTCCTGCCTTCTGCCATTGGAGGACATGGCATTCCTCCCCTCCAGGGACACAGCAAGAAGGCCCTCCGCAAACACCAGACACTGGTGCCTTGATCTTGGACTTCCCAGCCTCTAGAACTGTGAGAAATAAATTTCTGTTCCTTATAAATTATCCAGTCTGGGGTATTCTATTGTAGCAGCACAAAACTGACTAAGACAACCCCAAATGTCTATCAACTGATAAATGGATAAAACAAATGGAATATATTCAAACAATGGAATATTTTTCAACAATAAAAAGGAAGGAAATCCTGGCACATGCTACAACAAAGATGAACCTAGAAAACATTATGCTAAGTGAAAAAAGCTAGTCATAAAAGCTACGTATTACATGATTTCATCTGTATGAAGTATCCAGAATAGGCAAATCTGTAGAGGAAAAAAGTAAATTAGTGGTTGTGTAAGGCTGGGAGTTGGAGAGGGTTGGGAAGAATGGGAGGTGATTGCTAAAGGTTATGAGTGATGGCAGTGTTCTGAAACTGCTTGTGGTGGTGGTTATATAAATACCACACTGTGAATATACTAAAAACCATTGCATTGCAGGACTCTTTATTTTTTTTTTTTTGAGACAGAGTCTCGCTTTGTTGTCCAGGCCAGAGTGAGTGCCGTGGCGTCAGCCTAGCTCACAGCAACCTCAAACTCCTGGGCTCGAGTGATCCTTCTGCCTCAGCCTCCCGAGTAGCTGGGACTACAGGCATGCGCCACCATGCCCAGCTAATTTTTTTTATATATATATCAGTTGGCCAATTAATTTCTTTCGATTTATAGTAGAGACGGGGTCTCGCTCTTGCTCAGGCTGGTTTTGAACTCCTGACCTTGAGCAATCCGCCCGCCTCGGCCTCCCAAGAGCTAGGATTACAGGCGTGAGCCACAGCGCCCGGCCTACATTGCAGGACTCTTTAAATGAGTGAAATGTATGGTATGTGAATTGTATCTCAACAAATCTGCCCTTTAAAAAAAACAGTGGTGGCCTATAATCTCAGAGCTGTGGTGATATCTGTGAATATCAATACCGGAGGTTTGATCTTCTGCAGATGGAACTGAGGAACGTGAACTGGGTACAAACAGCATATCTCTGCTGTTCGCTTTTTCCAGTTCTCTGATAAAGGCGTGTCCACGCGCATCTACACGCTTCCTCTGGCGGGAGACGAGGAGCCCGCAGGGATGGGCAGGCTGAGGCAGGCAGTGCCCAGAGAGAGATGGGGGAGGCAGGACCAAGGGCTTGGTTTTCAAAAGCCGCGTCCTGGCTTTTCGCAGAGACACCCCAGGGGTGTGTGAGAGCAGGTCTCCTGGGTCTCCCGCCACGCCTGCTTCCTCCCGGGGCCCCCAACCCACCTCGTCATCATTTGAGCTCCTGCTTTAGTGTCTACAGTGATTGCTCATTCTTTAAGTAGATACTTAGATGCGGGAAAGTTATAAATGAATGGACATTCGAATGATGCCTCCCAGTTTCTTTCTGTGATTAGTTTAAAATTCCATCCTTTCTCATTCAGCATTAGTGTAAGAGGCAGGCAATAACTACACAGGGACTTTTACCCAGGTCTTTTCGGCGGGTTTTAAAAGTATCCTTCCAGCTTGACCATATTTCTGTGAGGAAGGCAAATAGTTAAAATCGAGTTCACAGATGGGGAAACTGAGGCAGAAAGAAATGCACATAATGCATATTGCTTCTAGAAAAATGATACCAAAGTCAGGACAAGGTGAGCATTGCTCTTCCTGGTGCCACTGCACCCCCTGTGGCCTCAGCCTCACTCTCCTAAGGGCCCGCTGCTGCCTGGAGGCTCAGGCCCTGCAGGACGCCGGCTGCTTCCTTCCCAGTAGCAGGTGGGTGTGGAAATCCTGTCTCCTGTGCCCACAACTTGAGTCATTCTGGAGAGGGGATTCAGGGTCTCCTTGTTCCCAAACGCATTCAGTGACTTTAGACCAGTCACTTGACTTCTCCGACATGTGTTCTCATCACCTGTAAAACGATCATCTCATAAGGGCACAAACCTGCAGAATTGTTAAAAGCATTAAGGATACGAGACATGTAAAGTCCCGGCAGAGTGCCCAGGCCATAGGAGGCACTAAATAAAATATTGGACATTATAGCAGATTAATGGTTTTGGGGGCCAGTGAAAGCTTTGCATGACTTTTTCGAAGTGTGGCTGATGGGCCTCCAGCCTCCTCTGCTGGCCCCCTGTGCCCCACCCTGTCCCCGTGCAGGGGGACCAGACACCAACCCTGAAAGGATAGCCTGGCCCTGGCCAGCTCCCTGCTGCTTCTACAGCAGTGACGGCTGACATTTATTGAACACTTACTTACGTGCTAAGCACTGTATGTCAAAGCCACTCTGTAAAGCAGGGGTTAATGTCTTCCCTCTTTACAAAGGAGGAAACTGATGCTCAGAGCAGATAAATGTGCTTGCAAATCAAAGGGCTGGGATTCACCTAGCAGCCCCTCTGCCCAGCCACCTGTAGGCAGGTGTCTGG